GGAAGGGAGAGGGAGAGATAGAAACATCAATCATTGGAGAGAATCAGTGATCGGCTGCCTCCTGCATGCAACTGGGAATCGAACCTCGACCTCCTGGTTCATAGGTCGATGCTCAACCACTGAGCCACGCTGGCAGGTCTCTCATTGATGTTCCTGTCTCTTTACCCCTCTCCCTTCCTCTCTCTCTAAAAAATCAATAAAAAAATATTTTAAAAAAATACATATTAAAAAAAATACATATTAAAAAACAATAACTTTGTTCCCCCTATTGGGCTCCAGAATGTACCAGATGGGGCCTCGGCCTGGAGTGGTGTGTCTAGGGCCCCCAGCTAGTGGATGGGCTCTTGACTTTAGGTAGGAAAGATTCCACAATACGAGGTGATTTTGAGAGTATGTTTATTAAAGCTGGGGACAGTGAAACAAAGGCTTAAGGTAGAGGAAGCAGCAGAAGAGAAAAAGGGGCCCTTGGGGACAGGTTCAGGGGTGAGCCCAGGACGAGCTGCTGCTGCTGCCCACTGCACCCCTTCTTGCAAGTCTCATGGGGCCCCTTAGAGTTTAGGAGGAAAACTGCAAAGATACAAAGTGCGGGCTTGCTCTAGCAGAGGGGCCTTCTATCCTTTGTCTTGAGTCTTTTTTTTTTTTTTTTTTAATCTGTCTTGGAATCCTGGGGGAGGTCTCAGGGAAGGGTCTCAACAGAACATTCGTTAGCTTTGGGTCCTTCAATATGTTGATTTACCAAAATGTATGTATACAGAGGCCAGGGTAATTTTCTGGTTAGTTTCATTTATTTATTTTAAAAATGTTTTTTTATTGATTTTTAGGGAGAGAGTAAGGGAGACAGATAGAAATATTGATGAGAAACATCATTGATCTGCTGCCTCCCGCACGCCCCCTACTGGGGATGGATCCAGCAACCTGGGCATGTGCCCTGACAGGGAGCCAACCAGCGACCTCTTGGTTCATAAGTCACCCGCTAACGCTGAGCCACACCAGCTGGGCTGGTTAGTTTTAATTTTAAAGAACGTTCTTGAAGAGAGGGACAAGGACCCAGGCCGTTCTGTCCTGAGACGGTCTGAACTTTGTAAAACCATTTGCTCCCAAGTGTCCTTGTTAGGGAAAAAACAACAACCACCTTGTGATTCATTAGCTGACTATAAATTGTTCAAATCTTTGGCCTCGTCTAATTATTTTGTCTGTTTCCCTTATGCCACTTGTCAAGGAATTTTCCTATCTTCGTACTGACCTGCCTCAAGATAACACAGGCCAGCTGGGCCCCCTCACCGTCTCTCCCCACATCCCATTGCCCCCAGGTTTCCGGGACTGTGAAATGCTCGCTCCCGGCCCCGGGGCTGGCTGGCAGAGACACGCAGCAGAATGCGGCTCCTGTCCCCTGGGGTGGAAGGAAGATTCCCAGGGTGCGTGTCAACTACCCAAACCCTGGGGACCGACCCCCTGTTCTCACCTCTGACGCCCCCAGTCCAATACGCAGGCCGAGAGGGTCGGACCCCTCACCCTGTCCTGGCCACCCGAGCACCAGGGCTGCGGCCACGGACAAGGGTAGGAGCGCTCTCCTATGCAGGGTGCACACAGCGCACCCCAGCGCCTGCCACAGCCGGGGCGGCGGCTTCTGGGACATCACTGCTGACCCAGCAAAGGTCTTGGGCGGGAGCCTGGCGCACGGTCCGGGTGCCCCTGGCCTCACCTGGCCTCTGGGCAGCG